CCCCCCATGTGCTGAGGGATCCTGTCTTTCTTGTTCTTTCCTGGCATGGCTGCAACCTCTGCCAAAGAGGACCAGACCCATGGTCCGTCTGTTCACACCGGCCCTGGAGTCTAAAATGCGCCTGCGGGTGGGCGCGGAGCAGGCTGCCAGAGACCGGGGCTAGCGGTAAGCAGGCAGGAAGCAGAGCTGTGAGGGTGGAATCCTGGGCCCAGGAGATGCTGAGCAGATGTCCTGGGTGATGCAACACCCCCCGCAAAGGAAGGGGATGGGTTTCTGGAACTCTTGAGCTGGGTTCTCAGCACCCGTGCTCTCAGAGAGCACACACGTGCTCATGGGCAACTTTCTGTGGCCAGGAGCCCCGGGCCTTTATCCCAGGACTCCAACTCTGGGCATGTGGCTCGAGGACTGGGGAAGGCAGCTCTCTCTGCCTGTCGCCATGGTGATAGCCCTCACTGTGACCTGTTCCGGACTCTGGCCAAAGTCACAGAGGGTGGAAGGAGCAGGACATGGCAGGAGGTGGAGGCGAGTCTGGTCTGGGATATAAGACCAGTCTCTGCACTGACCGGGAGCCACTTGCCTAGTGAGCACCTGCTCCCACACTAGGATGGGCGTCCGGTCCCACTGCTTGCAGAAGCTGACCACTGCCCCTGCCAGGGTCTCCCCCTTAGCCTTAAGGCTTGACATCAGAAGGCAGGGACATCTCGGACCGGGCAGTTCAGCTCGCCTATCAGTTTTCATGTGCACCTCTCCAAGTAGACAACGGACCCGTGGCCTTGCAGAACCCTCCGGAACAGCTGTGTAAACGGAGTGTAGGAGGAGAGGAGCATATTCACATCCTCAACCCTTTCCCGAAGGAATGAACGGAAACAAACAGATCCAGAAACGTCCCTTGGGGTGTTGGGTGCAGAGACAGAAACGTAGCCCCTGTCAGGACAACGCATAAACCCCCACACACTGCACTGTTCCCCACAGTGACCGGCCCCCCCCGGCACAGCACAGTGCTCCCTGAGAGCCAAGCTCCTGCCGTGAGACTGCCCTGCAGCCCCCGTGCTTGAGACCCCACACGGCCTGGGAGGAAGCTGGACCAGCTGTCCATTTGTCCTCTCTGTTCTGCAGAGCTGGCAGCAGACCGGGCCTCGGAGGGCCACAGCGCTACCCCAGAGATGTGCTTGGACCCGGGGCTCCCAGGGCCTTTGGGGGAGGAAAGGCCAGTGTGTGGGCTGGTCTTCTGGAATAACGTCCAGAGCTGCAGGACGACAAGGTCCAGTTCGGGCCCTGCCCTACACTCCTATGCCACCCACTGTCCACCATTACCTACCTAGGCAGCAGACCCCAGAGCCAGCTCGGGCCCACCCACACGGCTGCTGGGAGCCATCCACACTTGAGCTTTGAGCCCCTCCGTGTGCCGTGGAGACACTGGTGCCCTGGGCCGGGATTCCAATTTGCTGCCGAGCCGGGTCCAGTTAGCTAGTGGTTACCCTGAAGCAGGACCCCTGCCAAATGCACTGTGGACAAGGGCACTTTGAGAGCCCCGGTTCAAATTCTACTTTCCAGAAGCTGAACCCTCTACACCTGCTCTGGTGGTGCAAACTTCCTTCACTTACTCTCTCAAGCGACAGGACAGTTTGCTTCTGGTTGGCGTTCGTCAAAGCCAGCCTTCGGGTTTTGGGGAGAGAAAGCGGTAGGTGGAAACCGGTCCCCACAGGCCCAGGCAGGTTTAGGGCCTGGCGAGGGTCCCAAGTGGTCCATAGCCAGCCTGGAAAAGCAACTAAGGTTGGCGGGGCTGGGGGGGCGGCTAACGAACGCCTCACAACCTGAGAGCAGTTCTCCTTCACCATGTGAGCACAAAGCCAAGCAGACCCACATTCCTGGCATGGCTGTGCAGGGCAGGATCCTCTGAGTTGCCTTGGAATTGGGACAGGAGGGAAGGGTCCAGCACGAGGTGGTGCCCACACTGGTGGACCCTGTCAGGGTTGCTCACGTCTCTGCCTGGAGTTGCCTCCTGCTGGCTTGGGACCATGGGAGCCCAGGGCTCCAGGCGGGCGGGCAGGCATGGAGCACCACGCCCCTGCCTGCCCAGGGTCGGGGCTCACTTGCCCAGCCATGGCTCTGCCCTCGAGTCAGGTCTGGTCGGTTTATGTGTAAACTGTGGTGCACCCAGACCATAGAAGAGTGAGTTCTTAGGCCAGAAAGACGAGGACCCTCACACTCACGTTACTAAGTGAGGGGCACATCTGAAAAGCCTATCTCCCAGACGACTCCAGCCACGAGACATTCTGGAGAAGGCCGAGCTACGGAGACGGCAAAGGGTCAGTGGCTGCCCCAGGCTTGAGGGGAGGGGAGGATGAGTCTGGGAGCACAGAGGGTTGTCAGGGCAGAAGGGACTCTGACACCTCGACGGACACCTGTCACTATACATTTGTCCAAGCCCAGAGGATGCACAATGCCTGCCGGGTGACCCTGAAGTAAACTGTGCTTCCACTGATGAGCAGGTGTCCGTCTGGGCTCAAAAGTTGTAACTAGTGTGTCACATGACACACCGACATGGGGACCGTCTACACCCTGTGCTCTGTCTTTCCGTAAATCTAAAACCATTCTCGATGAGAGTATTAATGAAACAACAGCTAAAGCACTGGAGCGGCGAGAGTAGCTGGCAGGACACGTCCGGAGCAAAGCCTTAGGGCAGCCGCGGCAGCCAGACGGGGGCGGGATTTGGACTTGGAGTCTGTGCACGGAGCATGCCTTCACCCGCAAGAAACTGTGTAACTGATGAATTAGAAAAAGTGGGACAGGGGTGCCTGGGTGGCTCAGTTGTTTAAGCGACTGCCTTCGGCTCAGGTCATGATCCTGGAGTCCCGGGATCGAGTCCCGCATCAGGCTCCCTGCTCGGCGGGGAATCTGCTGCTCCCTCTGACTCTCCCCCTCTCATGCGCTCTATCACTCTCTCTCTCAATAAATAAAAATCTTTAAAAAAAAAAAAAAAAAGTGGGACAGGGGCGCTTGGGTGGCTCAGTCGTTAAGCGTCTGCCTTTGGCTGAGGTCGTGTGAGCCCTGCATTGGGCTCCCTGCTCGGTGGGAGGCCTGCGTCTCCCTCTCCCACTCCCCCTGCTTGTGTTCCCTTTCTTGTGCTGTCTCTGTCAAATAAATAAAATCTTTAAAATAAAAAAAAAGTGGGACAGCGAGAACAGCTGAAAGGAATAAAAGGAAACAAACACAAAGATGTGAAAATAAGTCCCAAACTGCCAGTTGAGTTGTGTGTACCTGCTAGTTAAGAGCTCATGTCGGCCTCCGTCGGGCAGAAGCCTCTCTGCTGCGACCCAGGCCCAGTACCCGGGAAAACAACATGCAAGCCTGACCTGACCGACAGCCCCTGCGCGGCCGAGTCCACGTCTCGCAGCAGCCCTGCCTCTGCCCTGCACTCTGCGCCCTGGGAGAAGCACTGTGAGCAGAACCGGGTGGACCGCTGCCACCGACGGACCTCATGCACTGGCAGCCACGCACTGTGCACAGGGACGGATCGCGTGCGCAGTGTGACCAGAGTTTCTCCTGGGAGGGGAGCCGTGTCGCACCACGTCAGCGACTTACGGGCACAGAAAGTGATCTTCTCGCAGCGGGTGCGGAAATCCACTCGTGACTGAAAATACCCGAAGTAAACTAGAAACAGATGCTGCACGCCGCACCCTCGGCCGGCCTCCCCTAGGCTGTGGGAGTTGAGAACACGGTGGGAGCTGTGGGGCAGGGCCTGGACCGCCGGCGGCGGCGGCAACACAGCGAGCCCCACTAGCCAAGCGCTGCCGCCGCTGCCCAGGAACTGCTGCAGGGTGAGCAGGTGGGTGACGACGGGCACTGATCAGCCCAGAGGCCATCACGCCTGACAACTGCGGGGACGTTCGTGCCATTTGCACACACAGGCAGCGCAGAGGAAGATGTCTTACGTGAAAATCCCATTTACAGTATCAACAAAGACGAGGCTGTGCGAACATACCCCAGTGTGGACGAAACCCCCCGGCCCGACTGCACACCCACCGCAGGGATCAGCTTCGCTCGCGTCCCGCCGGGTCCCGCGCACCACCGCCCACCATCAGGCCCTCAGCCACCGCGGCGGCGGCACGACAGAGGCGGACACCTGCACGGCTGGCGAGGAGGCGAAGCGAGTGGGGCTCGTTCGAGGTCACGGCCGCCTGCTCACAGGCCTCCCCTCACACACGCGCCCACAGCAGGTTTACCAGTAATGGCAAGAACCTGGAAACCCCCGGAGCGGCCACTGACAGAACAGGCTGTTTGTACGTGGGACACGGGAAGCAAGGGGGCGTGGCCCGACAACCCCCGACACCTCGGCCAAGCGGAGTGGGCACAGCGTGCCCCACAATGCTCCCAGTCTGTGCACTTCGCTGCTCGCTGTCCCCCCACAAAGAGCAGATACGACAGAAGAGGTTAAAGTCCCCGTGGCTAGTGAATCACTGGACGCTATGTCAGGAACTAATGATGTACCAAATACAGGCTAAGTGACTTTAAATTAAAAAAAAAAAAAAATTTAAAGTCCCAACAGTGTTTTTCTTGGGGGTCAGGAAGTGGATGCCCCAGTTTAGGGAAAGGAGAGGCCAGAGACTGTCAAGGCCCCAGAGGAAGTCAGTGGTGGAGCCTCTGCTCATTGGGGAGTGGGCCTGTTCCACAAGGACGGAGGCTGGGGGGCTTGCGGTGCAGGAATGGGGCAGAGCGGCAGGCTGGGGCACCCTGGGGCTAAGGGCTCAGCGCAGCTGTCCACTTGGAAATAAAACCCCACCAGCCTCTTCCTCAGAGACTGCCTTATGATGGCTGGACGGCTAACCTGTGAGGGGTTAGCCGTGAGAGGAAACCCCTAGAACTGACCACAGAGGGCTTCCCAGGCGCATCCTCTGGACACGAGGGAGGGGCAGGTCCTGGGCCATCTGCCTCGTCCCCCCAGCAGAGACTCTGATCTCGGGGACACAGTTACGGGGGTGACTCAGATGTGGGCTCACCTGGAATAGGATCTGTAAGGCCCCGTGGAGGATGCACATCCGCCGTCCGAGGAAGATGAAGAAGGGCACCACGAGCTCCAGGAAGTGGTTGCTGAGCGTCTCAAAGCGGTGGACCCACCATGGGGACTGGTGCAGGAAGTAGGCCGCAGGGTTGGGCACTGGCTGCGTCTGGGGAACAGAAGAAGGCCTGTGAGCTGAGCCTGGAGCTCCACCCCACAGGGGACTTGTGCCACCCCGGCCCTGCCCACCCTGTGCCCACTGGCTGTCCGAGGAGAGCATCGTGGCCGGGAAAGGCTCAGGAGAGGCCAGTCCCATGGACCCTTCTCTGGCAGCTCAAACACCTGTGGCCAAGATGCCAGACCTGGGGTTGTGGGGGAGGACGATGGAACCGAGCATCTCAGCCTTCTCGGGGTGCGCCCTCCCCCTGCCTGGTCTCCTGTAATTCTGATGCTGACCCCTGGGGGCACCCTGAGGGTCCTGGGGACCCAGGAGCAAAGGGATGGGCACTAGGGGAACCCAGGTTTCAGGCCAGCGCTCACATGCGGAGATTTCTGCTCCGAGGCTGGTGGAAGCTGGGGGTTCCGGCCTTGTGTGTGTTCCTGGGAACAGCCTCCAAGCATGTGTGAGGGGGGCGGGGGCGGCTTGTCCCGGGGGCCTGTGTGTTGACTCAGCCGTGGTGTTGGCCGCCCTAGGGCCCAGCTGACGGGCCCTGCGCCTCTGACCGCAGCGGCCCAGTCTTCCCCCAGACCCCTGGCAGCAGCCGAGGCTGGGAACTGGCTACGCAGAAGGCTGTTGAGGGGGGTGGGGTGCGCTCCCACCCAGAGGGGACGCCTGGGTGGGGACATGCAGCCATCAGTGAAGGGCAGGGGTGCTCCACAGATAAGAACGGCACCCAGAGTGCTCTGATTCTGGGAACGGTGTGCGGCCCAGCACATTCACCACCCCACCCCCACTCGCACCAAGGTCTGGGATCCGGGATGTTTGAAAGCAGGTGTGGGGGGAGCCCAGCCCAGGTGAGCGGCCTTGTTCCTTTTCTCGCCGCCATGGGGTCTGAAGCCTCGTGCGCTGCCATTCTCCCTCCTGGGGACTTGAGCTCTCCACGCACACACCATCCGAAGGGAACGCCGGGGCCGAAGGGACAAACGGGCAATAGTCGCTGGGTTGGCCTGGTTCCAGCTTTGAAACTCAAACACGTTTCTGATACGAAACGACCTTTACTTGTCACAGACGGTTTAGCTCCTGCCGCTGCCCCTGGAGTCCTGCGCCCACCCCACCCTGCCCCCCAGCACGGCCTGGGTGCAGTCTCTCCTGCCCCCGGACACAAGCGCTCGTGGCACGGTGATCACAAGCAGGGACACAGGCTGTTGTGCCCCACGGGCCTGACCGGGTGTGTTCAACAAAGGGTGACCCCAGGCCATGTTGCCTGCAGCCCCCACGCCTCGCCGGCCTCCCATCTGAGTTTTAGGAGACAGATGAGCGCATTTGCACCATGTCCCTCACGGTGGGTCTGGGGAGGCCCGCAGAGGTGACGGGTGCGTCCCGGGGGCCCAGGGTGGCCGTGTGCCTTTGCGTGCTGGTGTCCACCTGGACTTCTCGGTTGAGGGGTGTCGGCCAGGCCCTGCCCTGCCCCTTGAGGCTGACAGGACCGGCCTCCTGCGTTCCAGCAGCCTGGGATGGTTCTCTCCAGAATCCATGGCTCCCTTGGCCTCTGAATGGTAACTTCTGGGTCCACTGTTCCTTCTGCATTACTGGCTTTCTACCGCAAGGTCGTGTTCCTCCAGCCCGTTCATCAGCGCTGGTGTGGGCACGTGGGCTCTAATTCTTGATGGCCACTCATTTTGATGTGTCCACAGCACTTTCAGAGACTCTCCCTACTTTCTGGCCCTCAAGATGTTCCGGGGTCATCTGAAACCCTTGCTGCTGCCGCCCCTCGGTGCTCCGCTTTCCCCGGGGAGCCCTGGTCCCTCTGAGGGGAGGGTGGGAGTAAGGAACCCAGCCTGGGCATGAGGGCCGCTCTCTCTGGGCCCCTCCGTGGGCAGAACTAGAAAATAGGCAAGTGACTGTCTGCTGTCCCTCACCCATGCCATCTCGCTCACAGGGCTGTCTCCCTGTGTTCTGAGTGGATTTCTGCAGATGGGGGGGTCTCCCCATCTTTGCCCCAGGGGCTCTTGGCCACTGACACCTGTTCCCACCTGTGAGTGGGAAGGGCGCACCTGCCACGCGGCCTCTGGGCCATTTGCTCTCTCCTGAGGTTTCTGCCACACCGAGTCCCCCAGCCGTGCAACCCTGGGACCGACGTGTGGCCGAGACACTCGGTGGACGGGACATGTGGTGGCCACTGCTGACGGAGGAGTGCAGCGCATGTCCCATGTTGTGGCCTTCCTGTTCACTGTCCCATGGGGTCCCTGAGACAGGCAGCCCCGTGTCCTTTGCCCTCCAGCGCGGATGGTCCACGGCTGGCCGACAAGCACAAAGGTCTTGGCGTCAGCTCTGCAGAGAGGTGTCTTGGGCTGGGTCCCTTCTGAAAAGCCATTTGGTGGAGCTCTGTTGGGGCTGGCTCAGTGACAGGACGCAGACATGAGAACGAGCAAGCACGTGGGAAGAGGATGCGCTTCCCTTTGGCCTTTGGAGCAGTCACTCCTTCAGAAGTCATGGCACCAGTGGGTCACATCTGCTTCTCGGGAGGTGTGCAGTCCTCCCACATCTGGTGAGGACTTCTCAAGGACGGGCAGGCCCGGCTACTGGTAGGACACGTCTATGAAGAAAAACAAACAGAGCTCGCTGTGTTTGCTTGGAGCCTGGGGAGGGAAGCCAAACTCTTCACTGACTCAGGGAGAAGCTGCCTCCTGCGTCCATTCCTTCCCGCGGAGGGGCGCAAGGCCGAGGTGCGGGCGGCGGCAGTGAGCGCACGCTCGGCTCGGCCTCAGGGCTTTCCAGCAGAAATAACGCGTCCGTCCGGATTCGGGAGAAGCTGAGCCGCCCCCCGCGGCCTGGCAGAGGCCCAGCCTGCAGGCTCTCCAGCCGCCAGCCCCACCTTTAGGCAGCGATGCCCTGTCCACCCGGGGCCGGCTCACCGTGTCCTTTGCAGGCTGGCACCTGGGGCGAGGGGTGGGGAGGACACCCGGCTTGCAGGGCATCTGACGCCGCCCCCCAGGTCACGGCAGTGGGAGCCCGGACAGAAGAGCGCTGAGGGGGCGTATGAGGGTTCTGAGGAGAAGGCTATAGCCCAAATTGGTAATCTCCGTGGAGTAGCTGCTGCGAACTCTTGTTGGCGTACGCCTGTGAAGCACTAGGACCTGCTCAGCGAAAGCCCCCACCCGACAGCGCCAGGAAGCCCACACAGCCAGGGGGCAGCCGGATGGCCGACTGGTCGGCAGGTTTGAGCCCAGAGCAGCCCGTGTCCTCCGCATGCAGGCACCGTGGAATTCCTCCAAAGGATGGCTCTGCTTTCCCAGGGTCCACACCGCCCGCGGGGGACCAGCCTCCTCCTGTGGGTTTACGACCTGCTGGGCGCGGGGGTGGGTTGGGGGCAGCTCTACCTGCACCGTCTGCACGGCCGGGGAGGGACCTGAGGCCTCCCTTCTCCTGCAAGCCCGGGACAGTTTTATTTTTGTTTTCACTGAAGCTGGAAAAAAACACTGTGTCATAAAATCTGGCTGTAAACCCTGGAAATGGCGTCTGGAACATCGCACCCCATAAAGCAGGGGAAGGAGTGCCCAGTGCTGCCTCTGGCAGGAAGCTCGGCCACGCTCACCCTTGCGGTCGCAGTTCGTTGGAGAACTGCGGCCAAGTGTCCGGAGTGCCGCTCAGTTTGGATGCCGGCGGCTGGCCAGCCCTGACCCCTGAACATTCTACAGCTGGTTCTCTTAAGAAGAGACACCTTTAAAGAAGAAAAACATGAGGAAAACATGAAGGGTGATAAAAACAGTTCCAGGATTTGGGGAAAGCAATGTTCCTTCATGTTGGCTCCAACGCTGTCCCTTCCAGGCCCTCAGTGCTAAGTCTGAGAGAGACAGAAATGGCTTTTTCAGCCATTTTCCCATTTTAGGGACTGTAAACTAAGGTTTTAATGAGAAAGGGAACACACATAATTCTTGTCTGAAAAACAAGTTTCTGCAAACCCTCAATCTGCCCACATTGTGTTTCAGCAGGAGACTCTGTGAAGTCGCACCCCCTCTTCAGCCCAGGACCCCTGCCCCTCGCGGAGCCAGGGGCTGAGGTGTCCACACAAAGGCCACTGGGAAGTCTGAGTTCCCGTCTGTCTTCGAGGTGGGGGTGCTTCCCGTGTACACCGGAGGCGTCTGCCTGCTGGCCGTTCCCTGACGGCAGGAGAGGGGAAATCGCTTGCACCTGTCTGGTGAGCGTCTTAGGATAAAACCCGAAGACTGACGGTGTTCGTGCACGGCTGGTGGCTGACCTCCCATGGGTACCGGTAAGGGTAGGGCCCCAGATGTTGGGGCCAAGGGCTCCGTCCTGAGTGAGGCCACGGTGGGCCCAGCGGTGGCCACACAGGTGCTCATCTCAGGAGCTGGGGCCACCCGAAGGCTGCCTCCCCTTCCCACCCAGATGACAGGCGATGGGGAAGGAAGAGTGAGCTGTAAAGGTGGTGGCGCAAAGGACGGGGACAGGACTGGACACTGGGGTGGGCTGTGGCGGTGCCTCCCCAAGAGCTGTGCCCCAGCACTCCCCCTTGGGGGTGCGCTTCCTGCCTGACCGTGGGGAGAGAGGCCACGTTCCAGCGCAGCCACATCTTTCAAGGACGGACGTAAATCTGCCAACCTAGCACTCTGTCCCTGTCAAGATTCTCCCAAGCAAGCGGGGGAGAGGCCTTCAGACCAAGAGCCCACCGGCAGCAAACCCGCACACGAGCAAGGTGAGGGACGTCCGGTCGGCGGAGGGAAAACACATGGAGGCCAGGTCTGCGCAGAGGGGAGAGCCCTGGAAATGTATGAGAATGAACGCAGGGGGCTGTCTGCCGAGTTTCATGAAGTGTCCTGAAAGGATAATTTGAACAAAAATAGTAACAATGTGGTACGTAACCGTGTGACCACAGCCGCAGGAGGACCAGGAGGGAAAGTGAAAGAGCGTCATTGTCATGGTCCCATTCAGTCCCATACGGCTTACAGGATAAGCACAGTCCTCACTTGGAGGAAAGCTGTGACGTGCGC